GTATTGTTCGCAAATTCTAATAGTGAAATCATATTAGCAGCCAACGACTACCCAAACATCTGTGCTGTTGGGTCGTTTTCATCCACTCTGGGGTGGTTTTGAGTCTTAATTTGGCCACAGATTTCTCTGTGTTTCAGCAAATGTGATGATTTCTGCTGATAAATCTTATTTTAACACATATTTTGGGAAAAAAACTCCACACACTCTGGGCAGACTGACTCCCCGTTGGTGATGTTTTCGCTCTATAGACACATCGTCCCTCTTCCCAACAGGGGAAGACAGCAGCAATCAGGAATGCATGATTATCTGCGGTCATGGCTCTACAATCAATAAACGTGATTATAATGAAAGTCAATGGGTCAAAAACAGCCCCAACATCACCAAAGGGGAGTCATTCTGAACAGAGCACAATGCTGTTTTGTAGTCATTCATTTCTGTGATTTCAGACGGAATACGCAAAGTATGGTAACGTAAACAATATAGGAAGGGTTTCAGAATGTCGTGACTGTTCAAAAATGAAGAAATAAATGAACATCACACCAGCTTTACCTTAATCTCAGGCTGCTGCGGGCTCCTGGTCCTCGGGGCTCCGCTCTGGCCCCACGCCTGGAACAGAGTCCTCTGAGCGCCGCTCATCACTGCTGCATCTACAGGGGAGCACAGCTGGGTTTATATTCACACATTCAGACGTTCTGCCTAATATAATTGCAGAAAAACAAACATTGTAGATTGTTCGCAGTGGATTAAACAGTGCTGATGTTACTCTAACACATCATTTCAGACCCAATATTTAGAGTATAGTGTGGTAAACAATATAGGGAGCGTCACAATCTGTCACTGACAAAAACATGAACTACTATGTGAAAATAAAAGCAAGTTTACCTCAATTCAGCATCTCCACACACACACACACACACACACACACACACACACACACACACACACACAAACACACACAAACACACACAGTAATGATCAGATTCAATAAACACGCCGCGGGTTGCTAGGATACTGTCCGGTATAAATAGCGCCTCAGTCGAGCATATTAACGCATCATAACACTTATAACACTCATACCTTAATCATATTATACTTTACTGATCTTATAAACAAACATAAACAACGGAGCGGCACAGACGGAAGATCGAATGTGGCGCGTGTAAATCTGACGTCACTGAGCGCCAAAGTGCGCGTGCGCTGAGGACAAGTTCCGGTGTGCAGTAATAAAAGCACCAGTAATTAATATTTATACTTATTTTAGGAAGAAGGAATATATATATATATATATATACATTAAATTTTATTAGAAGATTTAATGTCTGTGATGTTGATCATAACATGATAAAAAAACATGATGGTAAGTAAGTTTTTAGGGTAAGTTTAGAAAAGGTAATTTTAGGGTAAGTTTAGAAAAGGTACATTCACACTTATAAACACACACACACACACACTCTCTCTCTCTCTCTCTCACACACATATATATGTATATATATATATATATATATATATATATATATATATATATATATATATATATATATATATATATATATATACACACACACACACACACACATATACATGTTTAAGGCAATATAGTTCAAAAAGGTTTAAATCTAATCTACACACTATGTCAGGCTACCGTGTCT